ACAATTATGGACTTGTATAATCTAATATCTTTCCGTCCATCAAGAATTTATTTCAATGCATCAGATGATGGACAAAATTTGAATGAATATGAAGAACAAACTAAATCTTTAATCAACATACCTAGGGTTCTTTTCGTTTGGCTGGTTAAAGTGGTTTACTTTGAAACCAAATTTTAATCTCAATATATTTTCTCTTAATTTTAATGGTTTATAATTATTGCGTAATTAATATGTACTTTATATTTGACAGGAATCTCATATCGGCCTTGGAATAGAAATGCCTTTCATAAGCCATTCAATAATGAAATCAACTTCTGAAAATTTTGGAGTAACCACAGATTGGCGAGGCAAAATACATTTCACTCAATTGCATCATGTAAGTAACTGATTGAAATTGTTAAAGAAAAATGACAATGATTTATTTATATTAACTTTCTTATAATTAAAGTTTTTCAATGCTTGTAGGAGGCATTGTCACATTATGAGAACCTTGCACAAAGTGCAGAAGAAGGCAACAAGCTTGAGAGTTTTCCTTCTAGTTAGTTAATATGAGTACTATACGGAGCTTTGAGGATGCGTGTTGCGCGCATATGTTATTTTTTGTGTCTACACTTGGTTGTTCAATTTTTGAATCCCGCAACAGCAACAACACCCTATATTCCAAGGGAAGAGATTGAATTTTTTTGGCCAATTCAATGAGAACACTTTGTCTTCTTAATTAACACTATTGTACTCTTTTCATTTGTATTAAACTCCTTTAATTTCATGATCTAGCTACTTATGTTATTTGGTGTTTAAATTTTAAGGTAATCTAATTTAAATTACATTATTTTGTTTTATTTCTTATTTCTTTTTATGAGTAGTTGCAGGTTCCGTACCTTTCAAGCACAATTTGAAATTTAAGATTCGACAAAATGACTTTCTTTCTATGAATTTTTACCATCATTTGCACTGATGCCACCATTGTTTCTAAACACTAACTACTGTCATGGATTATTATATTACCAAAGTACAAGAATGTGCCTCAAGTTACAAATTTTTTGAACTATTAATAATCAGACACACAAAAGATGGTCACAAGACATTGACTTAGTGATTAATGCAGATAAAATATACCCATGTTCGTTCGCTTAAATGCTTGTATAATATTCCAAAGTTCGCTTAAATGCTTGCATAATATTCCAAAATACTATCTTTGATCCCCAACAGTATAAATTATGTACCAAGGTTAAGTACTCAAACACCAAAGTGGCCACCAATCTAAACTCAGCAAACTAGCTGCAAGAGGCATCAACCACAACTCAAAACGAAAACAAAACTACTGAGGAATTTTAGGCATGAATTACATTCCAATTCATTGGCATCCCAAACGAGATATTTGAGTTCAAAGATAAAAAATTGAACATAAAAATTCATTAACAATCAAATTGTAGCTTTAATCTAATAAATAATCCACAAATGAATTCCCTTTCGGGGAAATTTATATACCAAAACATTAGATCACCCAAATGTTAATATAGAAAGAAAACCATTCATTTTTGCAATTCGTTACATAAGAAACTAAACAAATAGTCCAAAAAAAAAAAAAAAATTTGGTAAATCAACCCCCAACGATTTTATAGAAATTTTAAAGAAGTCAATTCGCCTTCAGATGAATAGTTGTCATCTTGTGTCATTCAAGAGATAGGATTGCAACATAGGCAATGAATGTGCCTCCAAATTCCAGTAGGCCTTACCTTCAAAGCGGAATCAGCATTTGATTGTAGCCATCCATGCCCTGGTACTCTTGTTACGCTCTAGTGGTGTGCATCTTTGATTCTTGGGATTGCTTTCCATTTGAATTAGTTAACGGCTTAGACACGAAGGATCAATTCTCTTGTTGCTGATTGGCATCTATATCTATACCCGTCTGTCTTAAATAATCTTTAAACTCTAAAGTTTGCAATTAAAGTATTAGAGTTTGAGAATGGAGGAGATCAACAAGCATGGAGGCCGGCTGACAGAAGAGATAATGATATTAGGATTTCAGAATTAAGGAGATGGTGGTTATCAATGGCGATTTGGTGGGAATAGAGAATCGTGACTGAGAGAGAGAGGTCTATCTAGACTCACACAAGCGTGTGAGTGAAAAACTCAAACAAATAAAAAAAAATAAAAAATCCTCTTTTCTTTTGGATGATCCGTGAAAAGATCTGCATAATTTAAGTTTAATTTTTTTTTTTAAATTTTTTTGGACACATGTCATGCAATTGTCGGACCATATCAGCATAAGAAGGAGATGCATACTTCTATATATATATCAGCATAAGAAGGAGATGCCTACTTATATATATATATATATTTTTGGTCGAAAGTTGAAGCAAATGCACACATACCAATATTCTTTTTCGGTACTATTCTTGAGCTTCAGAATCATTTATTAACACATAAATAAGGTGAATTTCTATCTAAAATATATGGTAAGAGTCCGAGTTTCAAAAAGAGTAAAGTGGATGTATGAATAAAAAAATTAAAAATAAAAACACCTAAATTGAGGTGTTTTATTTCTTTGGCATAGCCTCATATATACATGTCCTAGAATAGACATAATTTTTTATTTTTTTTTTAATAAAAGTGGAGACCACATTTTTAAGTTATATACGGTATATTTCTTGTATAGTGGAGTTCAAAGAATATTTGTTTGTATAGTCAAAAAAATAAATAAATAAAATGTAATACTTAATCCATATATAAATGTACTCACATTCGACTTGCTTTTATTAAAAGTGGTATGACACAATTTTCAGTTAAAAACACTCAAAATTGTCCCATAAATTACACTTGAACTCCACTTTTTATAATATAAAAGATAAGTAAAATACAATCTCTTTTTTCTTTTTATTATTTTTAAATAAAAATATATATAAAAAAAATTATTATTATTATTTTTTACACAAAGAGGTCGAAATGTGCGCCACCAAATCAAATTCTGAAGTTCCATTATAAGGTCTTAGGCACCCATATTAAAGCAAGATCGATTCAAAATCTAAGAATGGTGTGGAGGACATAAAAAATGTAGAATTTAATCTATAAATCATAAAAGGAAAGGGTGAAACACATAAAATATTTTAGATTAAATTAGTGTAATTTTACATAAAACTCTAAAAATTAAATTAGGGTAGAGCTGAATCCTTATCAATTAGGTTGGAGAACCGTTGGATGGATTTTAGAGCTGAATCCTTATGGATTAGGGTTTCCTAGGCTCTCTATCGAAAAGCTCTCTCTCTGTTCTCTCTCAATTGAAAAGCAGCTCGCGTTGTTGCACATATAGTTTGTCATCATTTTCTTATTAATTGGACGTTTGACGGATTTGGAAGGGTTGTTGTAATTTACTAGTTAATCTATGAGTTGTGACACATCACTTAAAAAAGTTTCTTTACTCTATAATTGAAGATGAGGATTGACGATTGCAAATAAGGCATCTTACCTACTTATATACATCTATCATCCAAATGAATGGTCTTTGATTAAATATAATCAATGGCTCAAATCGATTATCTAGAATAATTAAAAATAATAATCTAAGATATTGAAACACTTCTTTAAAGTTCCATAATAATCTCCAATGTTCTACCCTAATATATATCCACATGAAGACTCTAGAAAAGACCAATATATGTACTCCTATGAGGCATATTTTTAATTTACTTAGGTGTCCAAATTACCCCTTTTGTGCCCGGAGTGTAGCCTAGTCCACCAAAGCAGACACCTCACCAAAAACAGAAATTACTCATTTACAGCTTGAGTGTTGACAACTATTGAATTACTTATTACAATTCTATTGTGCGCTGAATTTGCTTTGACCATAATATCAATGTTACAACGGGGTTCTTAGGTCATTGGCATTGACTTAGACCTCCAAGTAGAAAAGTACTTAAGGCTAGAACTGAGGCATAATGACACAGATTTATGTTGTCTAGTTTGTTTTTGAATGCCTCGTATAACTGTCTAGTTATGGTTGAACCTTGTAGTCATTCATGGCATTGTTGTTATTATTATTATTATTAGTATTATTTTCTGATTGCTTTTCCTGAATTGGCTGTTTTCTACATTTACAGGCGGAATTAATAGTTGATGGTTCTGTAGTAAGGCGTGGAAGAAACTTGACTGTAACTGCAGTTGAGTTCAGACTCAAGGGGGTGCGAATCCTCTGCATTGAGCTTACCCTGCAGTTTCCTAAAGTTAGTTTTGAGTGATACTAGTGGTGCAACTTCGGTTGGGCAACCCGAACCCAATTCGAGCTCGCCTGATTTTTCGTGGGCTTGGACAATTATTTTTACAAATATGATTGGGTCTGAATTGAAAAATATCAACCTGAACTTAATTAGAGTTGAGTTTGGGTTGAGGTAGTACCGTACTAGCAACCCGTACAAATCCAAACCCGAATTCTAATATTATTTTCATATATATTTTTAATTTTAAATACATTATATATAATATTTAAACTACGATTACCTTTTTTAACTTCATTTGTTAAATCTTAACTTATTATTGTATGTTGACATTTAAGACAATTAATTTTGTAAGAATTTGTTTGTAATTTATTCAAAATTTATAAAATGTGTTTAAACATTTTTTTTGTTTAAGAGTAATTTAATTTAAAACTAATTCAAGATCATATTAAAATTTTGATGTAAAGATTAGTTATATGAGTAACTCGAATTCATCCTAATTTTTAACATAGAATCTAAATCCGAGTTGCAAGTCAGAATTTAAAAGTGGAAGGATGGGTTAGGCTCGGATTGAAAATAGGGTTGCGTTGGGCATTTTGTGGGTTAGGCTCAAGTTATACATCAAATCCGCCCCCTCCTCATCCGAGTTGTAGTCCTGAGTGGTACCATAGCGTTTGAATGTAGTATGGTCAATTATTAGTGAGACACGAATAAATGCAAGTATCAATTAGTGATTGACGAATATTATATGATCCAAGCCAATTACACTAGCCCCACAAGTTGAAAAAAAAAAAATCTATACCCAATATTTTATATATTCTCTTTTCCTTATTAGCAGTTGTAACTTGTAATCATATAAAAAGCTAGTAGTGTCCATCAATCCAATCTTATTGGTAACAACCGGAATTAAATCCAAAACCAGCATTCCATTACTAATAAAAATCACTCACTGTTTGCAGTTGAAATGTACTGACACTATATAACAATATTTTAATCAATTCTCTTATACATTTACAACCAGTGTGTAGAAAGTGACAGAAAATGGAATTCTACAATACTGCAAACAATTCTTCTTGTCTCATAAGCGAAGCGGTTGGTCACATTTCTGCCACCGCGCGAGACTTTAGACTCGTATTAATACTGCAGATTTGAAGAAACCATGTCATAATCTGAGTAAAATCAACAGCAAAGTTACTTCAATCCATCGTCACCCCCATAAAATACAACGTTTAAACAGTAAATACTTGCGACAGATAAGCTCAACAGCTTAAAAACAACAGTTGCTGAATGAATGAAAAAGAACACTCATTTGCAACTAATTTCAGAAGGTAGACTGCTTAGTTAACTGATGAGGGTAGGAACCGATGCCTCAAGGTTTACAGACAATATCGGACCCAAGTCCGGACCTACAATGGTTAACAATTGCCACACTCAATCAGCGTTAAGGTTCAAATCCTTTCTGATCCTCAGAACCAGATGACAGAAGACAGACCTAACTTCTCACATTGTTTTTGAATAAAAAAGCGAAGACTTCTCAGAATGCATGGCCTTCGATTAGTTTGGTTAAAGTAGACATCAACACAAACCTTTGTAATATGTTCAAGGAAATGCAGCAGTGATAAATAGAAGAAAGAAACTAGTCTCAAATAATAGACTCATAAACTCCATCTTAAGCAACAAAAAGACCCCCAGAAACTGTAATACAGACAATCCCTTTAGAAGATAAGGTAAGAGAGACATGAAAAGCTTTGACAACCAGAAAAATATAAGAAAAGACAAATAACACCTTAGAGAATATTAATGTCCTGTCTTCAAGGTAATGACCCATTCAAATGTCTACACCATCGCATATATGTCTAAAATTGATTCTTTTCTCCTCCTTATAGGGGAATGGGAAGTTGAATTTCAGACATCATTTGTCGATCTGTTACCTCTTACTTTCAGGTATCAAGTAGACTAATACCTCATTACAGGGGGTATTTATTCGATTCCAACTAGTAATGGATGCATAAATCATCTATATAGTTGACATGTCTCACATAGAAGATTCAAAAATTATAAAGACAGTTTCATAGGCAAAAGAAATATTGATTAATTTGCATCGAACATCTTCCTCTTCAACTTAACAGAAATTTTTAAGAAATATCTGATCATTATGCATCCCAAGTACAAATACTTGCTTGGATCGATATAGGATATATAAAATAACCAGATTCTTAGCACAACATGTGAGCAACATATCGGAAAATGTAATGCGATGTCAAATAAAATTGAACTAATAATATATAAAATACCAGCATGTTACAAAGACAAGTATGCATACCAAGATGCCTAAAGTAATGGAATCTTCACAAACTTGCAACAGGCATGTTGTAGAACGTAGCACGTGCAGTGTAGGTTAACTTCTCAGATTTCTTAAGTCTGAACGAAACTTCAGTTACAGTCAAGTTTCTTCCACTCCTTACTACAGAACCATCAATTACTAATTCCGCCTGTGAATGTAGAAAACAGCCCCCATTCAGTAAAACGCAATTAGGAAATAACAATAATAATTCTAATGAACTGAGGTTAAACCATTACTAGACAGTTATATGAGAAATTCAAAAACAAAAACTTACACATCATAAGTAATAAAATACTTGTCGAAACTAACTCAAGCTGTCAATGAGTTATTTCCTTTTTTGGTCTCCCACTCCCTTCTTATATATATATATATTTATTAGGGGATCAGTCAATCAGAGTAGCCTCCTTGTTTTAGAAGGCATTTTTCAGGTGTTCCTTGAGAAAAGACATGCGAAAAAATGATTGAAGGTGAACAAAAGTAAGCAGACCCCTACGAAGTGTATGCTTTGGTGGACTAGTTTTCCTCCCAGAGTGGATTAAACATATGCCTCATATGAGTAAAAAACAGAGTAATTGTGTATCTAGGCCCTTTCAAATAACTTTCACATATAGTTAAAAGATAACTGTGGTCAAACTTGACTCTAAATTTCACTTCTCTAAAACTAGAGTTGAGCAGAACAAATAAATTAATTTTAAATTCTTAAAAAATACACCAATGTAATTGAAGTAATGGGGTAGAGGAGGGACTCACATTCTCTGGAGCGGAAGATAGATAAGATACACTCAATTCTCCAAGAAAGAGCTCCTTATCTTTGCCCACAACAGTTCTAGCACAAGCAATTGACACCATTTCTGCCACAGCTGCAACAGCACCTCCATGTAATCCGTGGTAAATATTCTACAGAACTCGTAAACTGTAACATCAAACTTTCATTTTCTTGACAAATTAAATATATATATATATATATATATATATATATATATATAAGATGGGAAAAGAAAAACTAAATAAAATCAAATCAACATGTGTTTTTCCTTGCTTGTGTTCTTCTTGTTAGAAAGAAAGCAATTACAAACTCAACTCAACTAAGACACATAGTCATTGAATCTGAGTTTTAATGCTAAAACAGATGTAGAAAAAGAAATATATATATATATCTGTCTTCAGCATTCAATGAGTTATCCATCTCCTGTGGTTGAAGATTCAAACTTCAACTGGATTTCAATCTTTCAAGTACTGTTATCTAATGTGTGAGCAATCAAAAATTCAACTCAAAATGTTAAGAACCCCGAGATCAACGGCTCCTTGACAACACGTTCGAAGAAGATCAATAGTGGCATCCTCGATGTGAGGAAGAATTGCACTTATGGGCTGCAAGATAAGAGATCAACGGCTTAGTGTTGGTGGTTCTTTTGACTCCATCGATATTGGTACTGTCCATATATGTCAGTCACACACCACCACCTCCCTCTCAGTCAATCCCACGGGCTCCTAGAAGCCGAAGCTCAAACGCTCTTCTAGAACTAGAAGGCCGAAGCTCTTTCTCCTAAACAAGCCACACTCTAAAATTTGACTTTTAGATGTTACATAATTTAAGAACAGCATACACAGAGTCATATCCTCATGTTCTCTCCTTTTTCTAAGGATCAAAACTACGTTTAAAACTAATAAACTCAGGCTATGTTAGTAGGCTGCATTGAATTGGAGCCTTAGAATTGAAAAAAAAGTAACTCCGAAAATTGAATCGATTTTTTTTCTCCAATTCCAATTTCAATTCCAAGGCTCCAAAGCACAGCGTTAGAGTAACAAAGAGAGTTCTCTAGTGACACGCTCTTTATAATTAACCATTGAGTTTTTTTGAAATGAATCATTTAATACCTCTTCCAATCACATGGTTAAATAAGGAGAATTATTCAAACTTTCACTCATAAATTTATCTACTTTCATTACATTTTCCGAGCAACCAAAAGTCAACGTTCAAAATTTCACTCATTATTCAAACGGAGATAAATCAAAACCTTGATTGATATTATTTTCTGGAATTTCTCACCAACCAAACAGAACTTCAAATAAAATAAAATATAAAACCCTGATTTGCATTAGATAGTGAATGATAAGAATAAGCAAGTAGAAGAGATTGAGTTACGGTAACGGGAGGCTTGACGGCGAGGAGACAGGAGATTCGGCCACGTTCGAGATATTGCACCTTCAAGAGCCCTCCGATCAAATCGGAGTAGAAGTGCTTTGTATCGAAACGCTGCGGGACGTGTGTGGACATTCCGACTCTGTTGAAGAAACGAAGGACGTCAGATTTATATTTTGTAAAGACGTCATCGGACATGGCGGCGGCGGCGGTGGTGGTTGCAGACGAGGATATATCCGGGTTTTGACCACCAGGGGATTTCTCTCTCTCCATTTATTTTCTTCTGTCACCTAAAGTTTGTGAAGTGAGCACTAGTATATCATTCTTATATTTGTCTATATATATATATATGTGCATATATATGTATATACTAATAGACAAATATGTCTTATATGTCTATTTGTCGGCTCGTGATGTGATGTGTGGTATTTGTTATGGGCTCACCTGTCAAATATTGTACCGATGGTCATCATGGTGCCTGGAAAGAGTGCATGTTCTAGTGTATTGTCTGCCGTGTACTATATGATGTTTTACCAATAATCTTTCATATTCATGAAAGATTCGTCAAATCACCATGCTATTTGATTCTTCAAATTTTCCTTGTTTGTCTAACGATATTTGTAGCATTGGGTACGTTTATTTGGGTTTTCTAGAGAGACATTTTCTTAAATTTATTTTTAGGATTAATTTTACATATACTCCTTTCAAGTTTTGTTAAATATTATTTTTAAATATCTTTTAAAAATAGCTATCATTTATATTATAAATTTTTGTTCTATTTTTCACTCACCTCAATCGTTATTTGCACAGCTCCGACACAATACAAAATGACTTAAATATCATTTGACTTTGTCAAAACAAATCTTTTAACTTAAATAATTAGATAAAAAGATCAAAATATTCCTAAATATTTTATAAATTTACAAATCATATTATATATCTTTATTGTTTCTTATGTTATACATATATATATATATATATGTTATCTTTTCGCTGAATTCGTGTACTGGCGGCTATGCAGGTGGTGGTGATAGGTGGGTTTAATAATGAGGGTATAATGGTCATTTAAGTAACTTGGTATTTAGGAATAAATAGGGTAAAGTTGTCTTTTTAATGTTTTTAACGGAAAAGTAAAAATGAACCTAAGTGATAGTTATTTTCGAAAGATATTTGATGGTGATATTTGATCAAAACTGACAGGGTGTCAATAAAATTAATCCTTATTTTTAAATTTTATGAATCAAATTTTTTAATCTATTTTTTTCAAATTTTCTAACTTTTCTAGATTTTTTTTCTTCCTTTTAAAGTTTGTTGTTAAAAACTCATTCTTTCTGAATTTTTCTTTTTTTGAATTTCAAGATTAGGTCATCATTAGGAATTGCCTCACTTTTGATTAGCGTTTTTTTTTTTTTTTTTTTGAGTGGACTATTTGGTGCATTTGATTGTAAATACCCTGTATTCAACTGTGGACTAATTAAGTTCAGGCTCAACTCAAGTCCAACCCAATCCTAATTGTAAAGATTGTTGGTCGAAAAAATCAGGTTAGGTTCTGATTGGCTAACCCAAGTTGAAGCAATTTCAATTTTGAACTAATCCATACACGAAGTCATACAATTCTTCTAAATTGATGTCACTCTCACACCTTGCCTTGCAAGAGCTCTGGCTCCTATTCTCATTGTATGTGATTTAAATTTTGTGACTTGGATCCTTACTAAAAATGATTTAAAGGTGATTCAAAAGAAAAATAGAATGATTTATGATGGGTTAAGTATCTTCAAATCCAAAAGCAACATTAAATATCACCGACTGTTGGAAGTTGTAATATATATACTGATATACGGAGTAACAATATGTTGATCAATTATCTTACATATTTGCAACCAGTGTGTAGAAAATGGCATTGTATAATCCTGCAAACAAATTTTCTCCTCTCAAAACCAAAGCAGTTGGCCACATTTCTTCCATGCCTCTTTATCGCTTCGCCAACTTGCAAAAGCACCTGTTCAAAGAACAAAGTTGTTTTAACAAGAGACTTTAAACTAGTATTAATACTGCAGATTTGAAGAAATTATGTCATGATCTGAGTAAAATCAACAGCATGTTACTTCAATCAATCCCGTTACCCCATAAAATGTGATTTTTAAACAGTAAATACTTGCGACAGATAAGCTCAGCAAGGATATTAACAACAGTTACTGCAAACTTTTTCTTCTTTTTCTGGGAAATTTTTTTTGAATAAAAAACAACACTCATTTGCAACTAATTTCAGAAGGTCAACATCCCCGTTTTATCAGCAAAGCGAAAAAATCTATTCTGGTACGGTACTGTCACTAGTGAAGCTTTGCAAAATAAATACCCCTATCCCACAACAATCGGAAGCTAAAGTCTAATGGCTCTATTAACAAGTTCTTAGGAGAGCATCTAGGTAGTGCTTGCATGAAGGTTGCTTGCACCACTGTAGTAGTGGCATGTTTCTCCCCCGAGATGATTTTTCCAATGAGCTTGATTCAAGGCGAGGGGGGAAAAACAAAGTGACTGCACTATTAATTGGTCTCATCGAATATCTTCCACTTCAACATAAACGCAATTTTTAAGAAATTTCTTCTCATTATGCATCCTAACTACAAATACATGCTTGTATATAGGACATTAAAATACCAGATTCTTAGCACCACATATAAGCAACATATCAAATAATGTAATGGGATGTCAAATGAAGCTGAACGAATAATATATGAAATAACAGCATGTAACAACCCCAAGAGGTTGGCCTGGTTGGAAAAGACTTGGGCCGTGGTGCCTCATGAAGCATCAGGTCTCAGGATCGATTCCTGCTAGATGCAAACAATTCCTTGGAAGGGGGGTGTGTGACTACCAACTAGGAAAAAAAAATACCAGCATGTAACAAGGACAAGTATATATACCAAGATGCCTAAAGTAACAGAATCTTCACAAACTTGCAACAGGCATGTTGTAGAAGGTAGCACGAGAAGTGTAGGTTAACTTCTCAGATCCCTTAAGTCTGAACTCAATTGCAGTTACAGTCAAGTTTCTTCCACGCCGTACTACAGAACCATCAACTATTAATTCTGCCTGTGAATGTAGAAAACAGCCCATTCAGGAAAAGCAGTTAGGAAATAATAATAATAATGAAGTCAATGCCATGAATGAATATGAGGTTAAACCATAACTACACAGTTATATGATGAATTCAAAACAAAAACCTAGACATCATAATTTTCAGTCATTACGGCTCACTTCTAGCCTTCCGTACTTTCACCTTGGAGGTACAAGTCAATGCCAATGACATGGGAGCGTGGTTATTATATTGATATTATGGTCATTGGGGTCAAAGCAAAAGCAACACACAACAGAATTGTGATAACTAATTCAATATTTGTCAAGACTTCAGCTGTAAACAAGTAATTTCTTTTTTTGGTCTCCCACTGCCTTCCTATACACACACACACACACACACACACACACACACACACACACATACATACATATGTGTAAATAGATTAATTATGGGATCATAGTGATCCCCAGCCTCCTTTGTTTTAGAAGGCATTTTTCAGCCATGCCTTGAGGCAAGACATGCAATAAAATGACTGGAGGCGAACAAAAGTAAGCAGACCCCTATGAGGTGTATGCTTTGGTGGACTAGGCTATACCCAGGGCACAAAAGGTGTAGTTTTCTGCACCTAAGTGGATTAAACATATGCCTAGTAGGAGTAAAGATAATGGCCTTCTTTATTTTATAACTTTTTTCATTACTATTTGATTCTACCGATCCACCACGGTTGAGAAAAAGCAACCACGGTCAAGATTTTTAAGATACATTTTTTGGACTTGTGGATCTCCTTTTAGAACTCATCGGCTAATTCCATGATTTCCTCCAACACTATGTCAGCAACTTCCGGCATGTTTTCGGACCAATGTCCTGAGGGCTTCCAGCATGATCTTCCCATTTCAAGGTAAAACCTCAAATTTTAATTACTTGGGTTCAAGGATTTGATTACAAGGATCTTCTCCTACCATTCAGTTTTATCAGGGGACTATCACCATTACATATCATAAGACATGAATTTTTTATTCCCCCACCTGCACCCTACAACCTCAAATTGGTACTTTCTTGTAATTGCATCACCTTAAATTCGAATCAAGCTACTCATCCATGTTCGCAAATTTCTCTGAAATGCATTAATTTCTTATTACATCTTAAGGATATTACGTGGTTCAGCCACTAGAGCCTACATGCATGGCACAAAGAGCCCAAAGGGCTACATCACTTTATAATATATTCTCTCTTAATCTTTGTATACAATGATCACCCTATTTATAGATGAAAGAATAGAGATGATAAATATGGAAAATACATTAATGGAAGATTTCTAAAATCAATACCATAAATCACTCCAATCAATATTGTAGCATAGGCTAAAATCTCTTCTATGATATTCTCATATCAAATATTCTGTCAAGGAGTCATTTAAGGGTCCTATAATAATATTTCCAAATATAACATCTTCTAACACTCCCCTCAAGCTGAAGGGTGTATGGAAATAATGCTCAACTTGCATATCAAATAATGAAATAGATCCTTTTCCAACGAATTGGAAAAAGACAATAAAACGGCTAGAGACACGGTGGATGCGAAGAACAATGCTACCGGACACACCAGTAACCCAAATAAGTCCACATAGCACCGAAAATAAACTAATGTGTAATTGTATTGGGGAGAGGGACTCACGTTCTCTGGAGCGACAGAGAGATAAGATACGCTTAATTCTCCAAGAAAAAGCTCCTTATCTTTGCCCACAACGGTTCTAGCACAAGCAATTGACACCATCTCTGCCACGGCTGCAATAGCACCTCCATGCATTCCACCATAACCATTCTACAGAACTCGTAAACTGTAACATCAAACTTCCATTTGCTTGACCAAAAAAAATCAAATCAAATCAAATCAACATGTTTTTTCTTGTTGTGTTCTTCTTGTTGGAAAGAAAACAATTACAAACTCAACTCAACTAAGCCACATAGTCATAGAATCTGAGCTTTAATAAGCTCAGTTCTTTCAAAATCATTGTGCCTTAACCACTGAAAATGAATTTTTTTCACCACTTAATAGAGTTTTCAAAAAGCCTTTTAGATGTTACATAATTTAAGAACAGCATACAGATTCATATCCTCAATTTCTTTCCTTCTTCTAAGGATCAAAACTTATAAACTAGTAACAATGCTACTCTAGTCTAGCCCATAATTCAAACCTATAACATTTAGGTGAAGGGTT